GCATCTTTTTCTGGAAGTAGCTTTGAAAATGGCTTAGATGACTATGCAGTGTTAATGTTGACAACTACATTAGGTGATTTATGAAGGAAGCATCTGAAACTGAAGAGGTAGACTCCATATCTTAAAATCCATGCTGTTAAAAAAAAAATAAAAAGTTATACTTTGAAATTAAATAGCAGGGAAAAGTTCCTGATGAGCCTTTTCTCCTGATTTAAATACATTTGGTGGATGTGGTCTTCCTTTTGTTTATATTGACAAGGAAATAATAGTTTATAAATTCCTATTATCAATCATACGAGCAGTGATAACAAGCATTGTTACATACTCTGCCTCCTGAACATCCAGACCTTATTTCTGTTACTTCAGTATTGTAAGAGGAAGAGCGACAATTTTCATCCACTAGCTACTGCTTACTACCAGTGGTTGAAGTACCATACTGCTTTGATTTATCCTGTGCACTGTTAGATCATGTGCTGTTGCATGTTGTTTTGAACAAATCAGGTATTTAAGTAAGGAAAGATTTTCTTGACCCTAGAATTTTTGCTCTGTGGTGAGCCGCAGTATCATTGTTCAAAAATTATTCCAGTGATTAACCTCCACAGCTGCCTGAATGTGATGTGAATACAATTGTGGATGAGATGCACACAGCATCATCCTGTTTCAGGTGGTGTGGAGAAATGGTGGCAAAATTGTGCTTGTGTGAAAGCCAAGTGAAGTGGGACAATGGCAGAGACAACATCAACAGCAGTCGGTGAGAACAGTAGATTATAGCAATAAGAAGGGTGATGAATAATTTTTCATTAGGATGGTATTTATCACAATTTTTAGGGGGTGGGAGTGTCACCTCGTCATCTGTTTTAGTAGTACTGTATTCCTTACTAGTCGTACTCATACACAGTGCAAGGTGGCATAAATACATTTGCATCTATTAGACTATTCCCCACCCCAGTCATGATTTGCCTAGTATGATATTTGAATCTCTTAGTTCATAGCAGGTTGGGTTTTTTTTTTTTTTTTTTTTTTTTTTTTTCAGGTTTAAATATCCAGGCTTCTTATAAATGACAAAATTTTCAAGAGAGGAAGTTTCTGTGTATGAATAGCCATTGTTGCTTATGCTAGTAGTATTTATTGTAGAGTACTGTGAAATATGGTGTTGTATCTGATAAAGGCTTCAGCACCATAATATACATTAACTATCATGTTTATGTTTTCAGGACATAGTGTTTGTGAGTACTTAGTGTTGCAGTTCGTTTTGTGAAGAATCGTTTATTCATGATTGAGACAGGGAAGCAGAGACTCCGACAAGTTGGTCCTGTTGAAGGCCACATGCTGTAGCTCTCAGAGCTACTCTATCCCAGTTTGCTGTTCTCAATTCACGATGTTATTTTGTGTCGTAACATCAGGTGTTTCTCTACATCTGAAACTTAAAGCAGATACCATGTTGTTTTGTAGAACAGCATTAACTCTTACTCTGCATCATAGTCCAGACATGCTAAATTATTATTTTTTCTGATTTTTCTCTCAGATTAATTACTTTTAGAGGGAGAATGGTTAGACACGTGTAGAAAGGACTCCAGGCTCTTGAGCAGTAACGTACTGTCATACAAATATGGACATTTTGTTTCAGTTTTTCTTTCTTTGTCTCATGTTCTAGCAATCTGTAGGATATTGTAGGACTTTTGGTGACACACTTGATACGCTGTGAGTTGGAGAAGTGAAAGGTACTGAAAAATAGAGTGGATGGTGTAGCATTCTGATTTTGATAGATATTTGAAGCTACAGTCACTATTTTTGAAGGTAAAGCTACTGGGTAGAGAATGTGAGTGTTCTGGCTAATGTACCAATGAACAATCTTTGAGCTAACTTTTCAAAACATGTGTGAAATTATTAACTTCTTTAGTTTAGAAAGCATCCAGGTTGAGGTTCATCTTGCCTGACTTGTGGTTCTAAAAGTTAGCTGGCTTTTCTTGTCATGGGAGAGGAATAGGTCGTATGAACTGTGCCTCTTTGGCATCTCCACAGGGCAGTGTATCAAAATTGTATCTTTTTCCACTGACTGTGGAGTAGAATTAGGCTCTCAGGTTGTGTATTGGTGTATAAGCTGGGAGAGAAAATCCTGCTTCCAGATTCCAAAATGGTCATTTTTTTGGTCTGTTTCCAAAGGTCATTTCAATTTAGATTCTTTGCATACTGAGGCTGTGTTATTCCCTGACATGAATTTGCATTCATCACATGTATGTATTTGTAATTTTAGATTTCCAGCTCAAGATCAGTGTGCTTGTGCTGATTTTCCGATGAAGTACATCCTGGTAACCGGTGGTGTCATCTCAGGCATTGGCAAAGGGATCATTGCAAGCAGCATTGGCACCATACTGAAATCATGTGGGCTACGTGTCACTGCAATCAAAATTGATCCTTACATAAACATAGATGCTGGAACCTTTTCTCCGTATGAACATGGTATGACGGGCAGTGCTGTTGCCTTTTGCATAAATATGTGTATTCACAGTAATGTGGTGGTGTTTTTTTGTTTTTTTAAAAACAGTATTATGGTAGTTATTAGTCATTTTATAATGTGTTTTACAATGTAAGTTTGTTTCTTATTGTATGTTCTCAAGGGCATTGTCTGCTCTAATTAAAGAGAGAAGCGTGTTTGTTGAAGATACTTTTATGAGTAGATGCTTCCTTTCTATAAAATACCTCTTTGTTGGGAAAAGTCCTAGCTGTAGGCCTTGTTCAGTTAATGCTGTCTTCAGCTCAACTTGATAAAAAAAATAAAATTGGAATGGTACCATAAAACTTATTTGAAACTTAAGTCCTCAATGGTTACTTGTGAATATTGTTATGTGGGTGTCAGGTGTCAGTGCCTTCTAGTGTAAGTGTCTTCAGGAGAGTTAGATTAAGTTCTCATTTTAGTCAAAACTATCAGTGAAGCTTAGAGAGCCAGCTAATGATACAATTTTAAAGTAGATGATTAGTTTGTTTGGTTAATTCTCTAAGCTGGGTTGGTTGTATTGACTACATTGCTCATGAACTACAAGACAGTCTGACATGCATTTATAATGTTGAGTGTTCCTTCAGCTGTCTGGCCTGTTACTCATACATTTATTAAAATGTACAGATAAAAGAGTGGTTTTCAAAGTACCGAAGTGCCTTCAGCCAATAAACATTTCTGATTCTTTTTATTTGTTGGATTTTCTCTGCTTAGTTTTAGTCTGGACCAAAATTTTTGAAACTGGAGGTAAATGTGTTTATCTCCTGAACTGAAAAAAGACTTAAAGTTTTTTAATTGAAGGAAGAGCACAGCACATCAGACCCCTCTCAAAAAGCCCAATTTAACTAATCTGGTAGTCCTGCACTTTAAGAAGTATGTCTGGCACTACTTAGGCTGTTGGCTGGGGAAGTTCTGCATTTACCTTTGGTGGTAAGACTCCTGCGATGACTTGAGATTGTGAGGATGGATCAGGTACGGGCAGAGAGGATGCTATGCCATGTGATTCCCACATGATTTTTTTTTTTTCCCCTCTGTTTGCTTAAGAGTTTTTTTACTGCTTATGAAGAAGCACTGGCTTGCTGGGTAGTAAGTACAAATTCACACATGCCAGAATGGCAAGCCTCTTTTGTTAACATTTTGGCAGAAATACGAACAAGTCAAAAGATTTTAATTTGGTGATTTCCATTTAACTAAAGAGTTTTTTAAAATAATGTATTTTTTTAATTCTTCCAAGGTCTTCCTAGGAGAAATGTTGGTTCCACTCTGTGTCTGTTGGCTTAAATGATAGCTTGGTGCAGAGGAGGTACTAGTTCTCTCACAGAATCAGGCATAAATCTTCCACTCTGTAACATTGTGGTGTTTTTGTTAAACTGTTAGTTGAAGTGGAGTGTTGTATCTTGGTGGGATGTGTATTTCTCTAGTCCACACTATACCTTGAGGGGGATTACTGCTTTTTTTTTTTTTTTTTTTTTTTATTGTGCATTAGTCTTGTTTAGCTGTTTATCTGTTGATTCATTGGGTCGTGGCAAAATATTTTATGTTTATTCTGAAGAGCTTTCTAGTCTTACCTCAAGATCTAGTGACTTTAGTTCCTTCTGAAGTTGACTAGATTCAGAATTTAGAGACTCCTTAGAGGTCTAAGAAAATTCTGAACCTGAAGGATATTTTTATTATATTTTTCAGGATCAGAAATAACCCTTAGTCTGGACGTAGTGAACCAAATATACAAGATGAAACAACTGAATAAGAAACAGTGATCATGTTTAAAGCAGCATTTATGTTCATCATAACTTTACTCCTGATCAAGCCTTAATCGTTAAAATAGATCCAAACAGTGGTAATTTATAGTGAAACACTTTGAACACACGTAATAATTCATGCTTACAAAAGCTCAGTTTTTGGCTCCCACACATAAATTAATGTTTCATTTCTTGCTGATTTATGATGCCTGGAGATTGTTTTCTTCCAATCAAGGGTTGTAGCATACTGTTGAAATGCTAGTTAAATACTTTTAAGTCACTTAAATATTTTGACAATATAACTTAAATTTATTTGCAAAACTATACATGACTGAGGGATAGGCATTTGATGTAAAAGTTACAACTTGGATATTAAGTCACACAGAATGATAATGCAGATTGAGTTGCAGCTGTTCTTTATTGATATGTTGTTGTGATATGCCATTTAAACAAAAAACATTTCTTCAATTTTAAGATAAGTT